TGTCTGAAACTGGGTGTGTTTTTTGTTGGTTTGATGGATTTCTTTGAAGGAGAAGATGCAGGTGGAGTGGGACAGAGTGAATGACACTTGCTAGAATAATGAGAAGGGGCACTTGACTGATGCTGGCAGCAGTAGAATACAAAATACAGAAGTTGGGAAGGTCACTTGGAAGAAAGACAGTGAAAGTAGGGGTCATACAAGTCAACAGCATCCTTCTTCATGCCAGCAAACAGGCACCTCAGGTAAAGGAAGTATCAGAAACATCAGACTCTCTCAGTCTCAGTCTCAGTCTCACAGCAACGTAATACAACCTTACCAAAAACTCAAGGTGACAGCAGCAAAAGGATGAAATGGTAATTAAGGACATGACGTTCAAAAGTTAGTTTTGAATTAAGTTTAGTTTGTATGTCTTCTGCCTAAGAAATTAAACACATATATGCAGTTATGTAAGAAGAGTGGAATGGTCAGGGAATTAACTTTATATAGGAACTAATTTCTTCATTCTGCAAGCTGGAAGGCCATTGCCTAGATTGCTGTCATTCTCTGAAGTTTCTTTTGTCTCTTGATACTCTTCTACAGATAGAGATCAAAACAGATTGCTCCCTGCTTGGAGTAAGTGGAACCAGGCAAAGAATTGGACTCAGTCATAATTCCCTTCCTGATCTACTCCCTGGGTATTACAGCAGTGCATAGCCCACTTTCAGTACATATAAATTCACCACATCACCCCTAATAATTGCTATGGGCCTTTGTGATTTGTTCTGTCATTTTATAAATAAGAACAAACCCACAGTGCCCCGATAACTGAATTGGCATTTATAACTTTGATCCTATTTTCAATGTAGTATGTATGATAACCTCTTGGTACTGCTTCGAACTCACACAGTGCTGCAGTATTTCTCTTTCCTTGCTGTGCATGTATAAAAAACTGGAGAGGGAGCTGGCTTCCAGCAAGAATAAAGGTCACCTGGACCCTGAAAGACACTTTCTGAAAGAAGTTTATTTGAAACATCATTTAATGTGAAGAGTGATACTAGCAAAATGAGGATTTTTAGCACATTTCAAGGGATGTAAAACTAAAGTTATCTCCTTGGATATTTACAGTTTCACAAGTCTCCTTCAGAATCTATTAGAAAGTAACACTAATCTAAATTTCATGGTTCTCTTCAATAAGTATTTGGATTTTAAAAACTCTTCAAAATATATGTTTTCTAACAGGCAGGTGTCAGCAAATTACTAGAGGGTCCATTGGCTACTGATTCTTCTGTCAGTGATATTACTTTTTTTTTTTTTTTAACAGCAATTAAAAAAATTATATTAATACATTGATGGTAAATTTTGTAGGTGACTCCTGGAAAATAAGAAAGGAAAGGAGAAGAGGCTGGTGCTGTTTGAATGCCATGATCCAGTCAGATATATTCCAGTACAATTAAATACAATATAGTGTATCTAAAAATATTAACAGTTCAACTATTTCTATAGAATGAATGTCTCAAAAAACACTCCCTCACAAATAACATACAGGTCATTGTATGACCTCAGTGTGAGCTCTTCCTGCAATGTCTTAAGAAATGGGCAAGTAAATCCTTCAGAGAGTTATGAAAAGGAATGGTGTCAAATAAAAGTAGGAAAGCATTTGTGCCTCTGCACACAGCACTAGTAAAAGCCAGTTCTAGAATGCATTTCTGGAATCGCCCCAGGAAAACAAGTAAACAGTGAGAAAGTACAGAAAAGCCTGCAATTATTAAGTGATTATAAAACAGATCTGCAATGTCAGGCTGATCAGGCTTAACTATTCTGTTTACTTAAGAGGCTGAAACATGACTCAATCACAGTACATAATTATTTGCACATGAAAAAGACATTACAGTTAAGACTGAGCAATGTTCAGTGGCTACAGAAAAAAAAAAATCAGAGAAAACCAACCTGGAAATAAACCCAAAGTATATATAAACAAGTATCAGAACAGCCTACTACTGGGGATCATAAACTCAGTTGTATGTCATCTTCAAGACAAGATTGTGTATCATACTAAAAACCATGTCATCAACAAGCTTTCACAACATTCTCCAAATATCTGAAATCTGCGACTGCATAAATATTTACAACCTTACTATTTAAGGAATATTTATATTTAATAGACTGTTTCAACTTATCAATTCCTCTAAGTAAGAAGGATCAATAAAAGCATAAATATCAGTTGGTTAAAACTATTTAACAGAAGAGCATCCAATTTTTCTCATTTTGAGATTTTGTGAAACTTTCCAAAGAATAAGAACCCTAAGCAGTACAGTGTACTTATACTACCTAGACGGAAGGAACATATAAGCTATATGAAACATACTAATTATACTGGAGAAGAGGAAGAACTCTTTTTTTTAAAAATGCCTAGAAGGTTTGTCATGCTATTACTCTTCATCTGCTCCTCAGTGTACAATCTGCTCTAATTCCCAGAGCAGCATCTTTGGAAAAAATTTACTCCTCAGGTAATGATCCAAACTTCCTGATAACAATGATAACCATTTAATCTCCAGCCACATATTATTTAATATCACTCACATTTTTCTCTAAAGGAAAGATGTGCATTATACAAGCCAAAATATCCACTATTCCTTCCCCAGCAGTACTGGTTGTCTTTCCCAGCACTTACAATCCCCCAGTTGCAGGAATTTAGCTTTTCCTCAGCCCTAGACCTGGCAACTGCCCACACCTGTCATACATAAGTCCTCTTACAGTCAATAAACAAGACTTTCTTTTTTTTTTCCCCCCTTACTATTTTTTGAAGGGATTTCTCTGCCACAGCTAACAGAGAAACAATCTGAATAGAGGTAGACGAAGTTCAGCAAGGAGGCCCTATTAGGCAGTGGGAGATGCGGGCTTACATTATGCCTCAAGACAGAAGGATCTTGTTCCTGGAAGCAGGTGGGGTAAGAGGAACGTCTTCTGTTGCTGAAGCTGCTCTAGTACTGAGGTGGGTGTTTTAGCCACAGTTGTTTTAGTTTAGGCATGTGATCATGGGAATCACTATTTTGACTGCAAGAACTTTGGCAGACTAACTTATGACTTGTAGTCTGATACCAGAATTTTAAAAAAGATTTTATAAGAACCCATAGAAAGTGCTAGGGCAAATATGAAGACAAATGTCAGATGAACAACTCTTTCAAAACTATCATATGCACATAAATTATGGAGGAAGGTATCACTGAGGACCTGGATGGTAATGCCTCAACTGTCATTATTGATCCTGCCCTTTCAAAAATTGGCAAAAAGAACTAAATCAAGTAGCAGCCACCATGGCTAGGTTTGTCTGTACACATGGTTTCACTAGCTAAGTTCCTTTGTAAGGGGTTTGCTGTGCTAAATTCCAGTGTGCTAAACCAAGTATCCCCTCACTACTGACTCTCTGTTTTTCTTATTTTTATTATGACTAAAATATCTGCAATTATCCTGAGAAATCTAGTTCTGCAGTTATTGATCCTTTCTAGGCTTATAGGGAGGATCCATAATCTAAATTCACAGTGGAACATTGTAGGATTAAGGGGAGGAAAGTCCCAAATGAATGCATCTCTAATGATATTCAAGCATTTCTGCCTACAAGAATGTATAATGGTTTTGAAGTCAGATTTGACAATAATCATGACGTACTATGCAAATAATATCAAACTTACTTCCATTGACTGTAGAGGAAAAGACTTAACTTGAAACTGTTTATACTAACCTTCATACTGATTAAAAGCCCCCACAAAACTAACACACAATAAATAAATGTTCCTACAAGAGGTGAATAACTGACAGAAAAGAAGTTTTAAGTAACATCTTGTCAATAACAGAAGGACATCTGAAAAGAAATAGATAAAGCTCCTGATGTAAACAAGGTTAAAAAAATTCCATAAGGTAAAAAAACAGACCTGTGCTGATGAAATGGGTAATTGCTGGCAATGACTCAGATGCTAATGATAGAGAATATGTCTCTAAGGCATAGGCACACATCTAGGCCATGATAACTTTCAGCTTCCTCTTATCACATCAAATTAGCAGTAAAAGAGGTTCCCTAGTGCTTTTTTTTCAGAAAGTAGAAAACAAGAATCTGAGGGAGAGAAGCAATTTTGGAGTAAAGCTATTGTTGGGAAGAATATGTGGATTGGGTCAGACTACAAAGTTTTCTTTTGTTGATTTAAATCAACATCTTAAAGATAATTCTGAATATTATGCAAATTAGCTCATGTTACCCTGGACAGGATAGTTTTCTGTTCCGTGTCTGGGTAGGGAAGAAACCCTACAACCCAAGTTCATATTGTATATGCTGACATCTCAAAGCCTGATCAAGTACTAAAGAACAAAAGTGGAACTGAAGAAATTATACAAGTGGCCAGATACTTGTGATTATACACAGAAATAGTTTTGTTTGCACTTATTTATTTATACTGAAATCAAGGCTATTACTATCAGAAATAACCTTAAGAGTTCTGCATGATAGAAGCTGAAGAGCATCTCTGCTCATGAAGCACAGCAAAAGTCTTCAGGCTGATTGTGTTTGGGAGCAATGTCTAGTGGGAAACTCTGCAAGTATTTGTAGGTAGCCCATGATAATAAAACTGATTCACTGCTAAGTATAAAGGTCATTTGATCTGAACATTTTATTTGGTTTCTTTTCAAGTACTGTTGCTTTTTCCTCATTTTTGTTTGTCATCAGGAAAGAATAGAAACTTGATTATACTTGGTTTTCATTGTGATTTTAAAGACTGAAGCAGTGAGTCACGATAGTTAGTATGTTAAAGCACAAGCTGTTGTTTAGTCATGCACCATGTCATAATACTCTTCACCCCTTGTGAAAGGAAGGAGAGACTCTCATATGATTATGTAATTCCTCATCAAAATCAATGATCCCAGGATCTGCAGAACAAATACAACTGGCACTGTCCACGTCAATAAAGTGCCATTCATTACCTTTTTCTATATCATTAAGATGAGCACCAAAACTGCTCAGTCAGCACAATCAGCCAATTGCCCTACACAAGTAATTGCATCACTGCGAATCTGTTAAGAATGGAAGAATTGCTGCAAGATAGAAGAATCTTGTGAGTGATTTCAGTGTTGCCCATCTTTTACTATCATAGTTGCTGACATAGGAAAGAATTCAAAAGACAAATTTTGAAACTGGGTAAATATGAATTAGAACTTCAGCAGGTTTTTTATAGAGATCTTGCAATTTACTTGACCAATTTACTGTAGAATGGTAGCAGAGTTTTAAAGCTGGAAGGTTTGGCTGCTTATCCTAGATTGTAGCCACGCTTTGGATAGGTCTGTGTGTGAGGCACTTGAATTTTAGTGGTGCATGAATTTTGTTCAGCAGGCACAGCATGGCATGGCTTGGTGCTGAGATGAAACGCTGTCTTGAGCCCTAAAATGAAGGCCTCACTACAGTACTGCTGTACACACAGAGTATAATCTGCAGGCATAACTAAACTGCCTGTGGTCCCAGAGTGACACTGCTTGTCATCTATATAACTGTGGCGACTCTGTAGTGGTTTGTCCACCCTGGGTAGGGATGTCAAAGCCTTTTCATGTTATAGTACAAGATCACCGTAAGGAAGAAATCGATAACCACTGAACAGCTAGTTTATCTATCTCCCTCCTGTGCATTTAGTAGATAGCATCACTGTAACATTCCTCATTTTCTATGGCATCCTAAATATGTTTTTATTACTTTCTAGATAATATAGATGGAGATAAAACACTCAGTGAAAACACAGTCAGGCTAACCAATATGAAAGTGTGTAGAAAATTGATGATCAAAAGCCCTTCATGAACTATAACAGCTTTGAATGTGTTTTCAGGTAGCAGAGTACACATACACAAAGGGAAAATCATGAATTTCAGGTTTAGGTTTTAATGAGGTCTAGTTCTGTATTTTGTTACAATTACTGTTGCAAGTAGTCCTTTATGGCATAGCCTTCTCCCAAGAGGAATTAGAACTTAATCAGTCATATTTCAGAAGGTAAACATTTTATGGAATATCTTCTTTAACAGACTTTAAAAACATTTTTCATTGATGTTAATGACTTTTAAGAGATGAGTTTTAATTCTTCAGAGTGATGGATTCTTCTTATACTGCTAATATCCAAATGCACTATGTAGAACCAAGATGAAGAAGAAAAGAAAAATATAGTGCAACGAACTTAAATAAGATAAGGCTAATTTTGAAGGCTACTCAACTGAACTATAAAGAGAAAAAAAACCCACAGATTTGATATGAGAAGATCTGTATGAAACAGCTATAATTAGGGCTAAGTATAGCACAGTCTTTAACTTTATAATGTTTCTCTAGGCAATATTGCCACAAATAATAAATATAAAGCTAAGTATCTCTTGTTTCATCCTTAGATACATGCAATAAGATCTTGACCCACTGATAACAGAAGTTTTATTAGTAACTGTAATAGTGACAGTAGTTTAAATCAAAAGTTTCTATTCAAAGTTCCAAGACAGTCAGCTGAGATGCAGAGACAAGAGCACTTCTCCAGGAAAATCCTCAATCCATTTTTAAAGCTTGTCATTAATCTATTTTCTAGATGGATTTTGAACTATGCCAGCTATAGTTCATGTCAAACTAAATTTGGATTATACTGCCTAAACAGAGCTTTACAAGCTATTTATTTTTCATATGTCAAATGGAGTTTTGTGAGATAGAACCTGGTAAAGAGTACGCTGAGCGTTATTACAGTTGAGGGCTGGGTTTTGGTTTGGGGTTTTTTTGTTTGTTTTTTTTTAAGTGAGTCTGTCCTCCTGTGATCAAGAATGCTGGCTAAATTTCTAGGAAGATGTTTTCAGGTGATTATCTCAAAATATAGAGGCAGAGGCTCTGCTTTGGTGTGTGCTTTGGTACAGTTGAGAAATCCAGAAAAAATGACACCATTTTAAAAAAGTAGGGACAAAATTGTGAAAGGCATCTAATCTAACACACTTGTCACCAACTTTGTGTTGCCTCTGCTCAGTCCATGTCCCTTTTTATTGTCTCCCTATTAGGCTTCAAGCAACTGGGGAGTCAGATTATTTATGAATAAAATAATGAGGGCCTTTCACCTCCAGGTCATGGTTCAGTTTCAACCCATGTTATCCTGAATGGTCCCTTGGTGACTGAAAGCATATTTGTGCAGTTTGGTGATACAAGTTTCCTGTGTTGACTGTCATGGATTACTTTATTTGGTCCCATAATATACTGTCAAAATTGTCATCAAATGACTCCCTTGTTATCATCCTTAAAGCAGAGATCAGTTTACGCAGGGTCCAAACAATTCTCTTAATTTACAGGGTAAGTTGAACTGAAGCAAAACAGGAAACCTGTAATGCTTCTCTTGTGTAACTGCACTTTTACCATAGCTCACTTCCTAAGGCAGTAAACTTAGCCTTTTCACAAGCACTAAATAAATATTTGAAATTATTAGAGAGCACTTTTTTTTCTTTTGGTTTGAAAAGGAAGTTGCTCCTGACCTGAAACCTTACACGCCAAGGTTCAGCTCAAAACATATTTTATGGTTGAGTAATTGCAGACCATTTAAATTAAGGATTTATAATGGAATTGCTGACACAACCTTAACTCTAGCTGTTTGAATGACACCACTATAATTATATGAGAATTTAATGATTTCAGCTGCAGCTGAACTGACAAGCAGCATAACCAAATAAACACCAGAATTTATACAGCCTATGAGTGAGGAAAAATGTAGTAGTAGACCTGGGTAAATACATTCATAGGAACTTGATGGAAATTTTGATAAGGAAAAAAAAAAAATCAAGAATATTTCAAGCTATAAATAAATATCACCTTAATTTCCTTTTAGGTGAAACAGAATAGAGTCACGATGCAATTACACAGTCCTCCTCTCCCTTTATATAAAAAGCATGTGAGACCATCCGGAGAAACACAGGATGTGTTAAACTACAGACTGACGAGTGACTCATCAATAAGATAAAAATAGATTTAAACTGAGAAATAAGACCTGAGAGAAATGGGTTTAGGAGTGAGTAGCAGACAGGGGAAAACTGAGAGATTAAAAAAGTTAAAGTAAGAAGTACTATTACAGAACATGCATTTCATTTCTAGCATTTGTTCCTATACCATATATTAACTAGAATTAAGAAACCTTAATGAATGTTAGGCACTCTTCTTTTAAAAGCAAATTTCATACACAGACTTGTGAGCAAAAAAAGCCCCACCTTTTGAATTATCACCAATTTATTAATATCTATACTTGCATACATAACTTTGCAATTCTCAGATGCTCAGATAAAGCTTTTTCTAATAAAACCCAAGTTTCTGATGTTGGGTAATTACCTTTTGGTTATATAGTTTTCCATTTTAATTGTGCAGGTACCTCCTCTGTGACTTATTCCTCTACAAATTCAGAATCCCACTTCACACCTTCAGGGTAGCATTCAGTATGTTTAACACTTTCTAAAGCAAACTTTCAAAGAGTCTTCTCAAATAATACCACCTTCTTGGAGAATACAGTATACCTTTTCATACTATGATGAGCAACTAGCTTTATTCCCCTCCCCCCTTCAATTTTTTAAAATTTAATTATCTCCAAAAGGCTTTATCTGAGCCTGACAAGAATTTGTGTGCTATATTCCATTTTTTTCATTAGATATCCTGATCCTGTTAGATCAATGGGAAATTTATACCCTTATTGATGACCCCAGAGGTTTATAGGATTTCATTTTGAGTGCTTCAGGTCAGAGACCTGTATCATTGACTTCAGTGACCATAGCATCAAATCTATATTTTTTGATTTCCACTATTTTTCTGTTCTGTTCTGTGGAGAGAAACACACAAAGTCAAAAAGAATTAATAGAAAACAAACTAACAGGAAAATGTTTTCTTATTTCTCCTCTCATTAAAAAAAAATAATCATATTTTCTCTCTGATTTAAAAAGAAAATATAAGTTCAGTAGTCATATCCAGAAGGATTTAAGAGGCTAGAATTGAAATGTAAGCAAAACATACGTACAAGGGCAGAAAAGGCTGCACCGTAAAAATATCTATGCAAGCTGTTGCTTAACTCTAGGAATCCCTAAATTCTATATTTCTTACTTAAAGCACCCCGAATCTATGGGTTTGCTTTTCAGTATATTCTACAGCATCTTAGTAGTGACCAGACTGACTAAATTAACATCTGCCTGATGTCTAAATTTAATCAGAATCCTGAAATTAGGTTTCTCTGTTGCTTTCATCAGTTCTAGCCTTTATTATGAGGGCAACTGACACATTTTGCTGTGGGAAATACAAGATAATACATAGGAACACTTCTCAGAACAGACATAGAAGTTAGAATTTCTTTGACACCCTGGTGGCTTGAAATGATCAGGCCATAGAGGCTCCTCTTGCTCTCTCTCACTGGTTCAGTGTATCTTGAATCTACCCCTACTCAGTAGCTTGGGCTCAACCAAAGTGACGGGCACAAGAGTAGAAATTCCCTGATCCTTTCTCCCCTGCTTTCTTGGATTCATCTAAACCTGAATATCTGAGTGAAGATTAGATCTGTTTGCAATGATGGGGTGAAACATTTTAACGGTGAAGAGTGTTCAATACTAAATTGCTAGCTCTATAAACCACACTAGAGAATTCTACTGTGGATAAAAAATTTAAAAGGGTAAAGGGTTAACTGTTGTCATTTGGGTAAACATGCATTAATGGATTCATATTATTACTTCAAAATTAAAAGATAATGCATTTGCAAGGGGAGTTCCGTGGCAAGGATCCAACAGTAGGATAAATAGCAACTAACAGAAGAAATTATTTATGGATTATTGACTATGATGAAAAAGTGCAGTATGATGTACAATTCCCGCTCCTCTTCTTTCATTTTTTTTCAACCTTAAGCAGAAAGGATGCCCCAAATAAATAGGAAGATAAACATTAACACATGTTGTTCTGAGCATCCCTATTCATTTCCCATTCCCTATTTTGATTTGAACACTTCTGACATAGTGGTTAACTTGTTTAATGAAC